AGTTTGGTTATCATATGATGTCCAAGTATTCTTAATTGCTATTTGGAAGTTGAATAAAGTATTTTTCCAAATATATATATTTGTTAAATTTTATTTTAATCTAATCTTTAAAATCATTATCATCAAAAAGTCAAATTAAAACAGTATATATTTAGGAGACAAAGCGAGTTGTAATTTGGACAAGTGTGTTGAACAAAATCTTGATGAATGAATAGTGATGTAATTTTAGGTACCAAGTGATAATATATAGCAAATATCGTAAGGCTAAAATAGATAATCCTTAGCAAGCACCAAATTAACAAGGAGGAGGAAAATAATATAAAATAAAAATGTAAATGAGTCACACTACTTATAATCTACTTGAATTTGGATTGATAAATACTTAAGCTCAATTAGTTCATTATCAACAAACCGAGTTTGAGGTATTTGAGTAACAAATCAAGTTGAATTCAAGTTTTATAGTATTTCATTTAAATTTTATTGAATTTTAAAATTTTTAATAATATTTTTATATAAATTTTGACTTCGAGCTCAAATTGAGAATAATCAAGCTTAATTAAATCGAGTTCCAAAAGTGATATTATTGTTTCAAATGGAATCTTAACACAACAAAGATAAGAGTTGGAGGAGTGGCTTGCAGCCCCCTACAAGTAAATACCCATAAATGAGATATAAAGGGTAATTAAATATCCAAAGGGGTAACTCGTAGCCTAATCTACTCATCTCAAAGTCAAAACTGCTCCCCCTCTATTAATCTAAGACTAGAGATGTCAATAGAGTGACGCCCGCTATGCCTACGGGCGGGTAGACGAGAAGAAGAAACTGTCAAACGCCCGCTATATGCCTACCAAACCTCATCTATTTCACACTGGAATTGGATTGGATTGGCTTGGATTGCGTTGGCTTCTTCTTCTTGCCTCTTTCATCCATTCTTAAAAAAAACCAAGTACTTTAGTTGTTTTGTCACGCCAACATCAAGGCCAACTCATAGAAGAAGAAAAAGATATGGACATCAAAGTTTCAAATCTCAAAAATATTACAACAGCCCATGCGGCCTTTATATTCATTCATTTACATCAAAAACAAAGCAATAAACAAATGATTCATATCATGAGTACAATATGAAGACAATAACAAAAGACAGAATAGAAACCAAAAGAGAATAACCAAAGCTTAAAGTCCAAGTCAAGCATAACATGGTATCTGGGGTGCAGGAGAGAATCCTATTCCTAGTGTTTCTGGGTGGTCTTGTGGTACTTTTCTTTGATCCAATGAATTCCCAAAGAGGTTCCTTCTTTGACCTTCTTCACCCCAGTCGAAGCCACCGCTTTGGTCTTCCCAAGCCCTTCTCCTACCTTCTGCTTGTACTTTGCGGTGCTGCTCTTCGTGTTTTTGGTCTGAGTGGTGCTGACAGGGGTTGGGTCGCTGTAGTCCCACTGATCGGCCCATGATGCACCGTAAGAGGAGTTGTTTCCTTCCATTGCTTTTCTGGAAAAAGTATGGGAGGGGATCTTCTGTTGGAGCGGATCAGGAATATTGCTTGGAGGAGGAGATGAAGAATTACGTTAAGAGAAGAGGAAAGGGATTGGGTATTTGATAGAAAGTTAGACAGGTAAGAAATGGTTGGCGTGATTCCTAAAGTTTGGTTTGAAGCGTCCGCACCTCGCCTCGCTCTCTTTATAGGCATTAACGAAATCATGTTGGTCCAACTAAGGAATATGCGACCCATCTTGTGATTTCAACACGTGATTGCTCATTGCAAGGAATTGAGGTTCTCCTCTCTCAAAGGACAAAAATGACCTCTTCTTCAACTATAAAAAATATAGTTGTAGAAAGCGGAGGAATGGAATTTTGGATAGAAAAAGCGTGAAGGGCAGTGTAGTGTATATGTATATGCCCAACAATTCAACAAAAAGAAGAAGAAAAGAAAGCCACAGAAGCGCGTATCTTCTTAAGCTTCTGGAATTAAAAAAAAAAAAAGATATTTGGAGTTGGGCAATTTGACCGAAACCTCTATTAGTCAGGCACGCATAATCAACCGACCGTCCTATCCAAGAAGCTTCAGCTGTCGTCATGGCCCATGCCATCGCCGCCCTCCCATCTCAGACTGTTCGTTCTAATTGCTTACAATATTCTTCACAAAATATATATTATAAAAATATTTAAATTTATTAAATTATAATTTTATAAATATTATTTTATTTATTTACAGTTATAAATTGAGTACTTTAATAATTAAAAAATAAAAGAATGGATGTTTAAGTAAACAAAAAAGTTTTAATTAATATTTATTTTTATTTATCATATTTAAGATAAAAGGATTAAGATCAATTTATTTATCTAACCATATCATATTAAATCACGTTAAAAGAAAAGTTAAGGATAATGATCACGTTAAAAAGAAAAACAGATAGTGAAAGTTAATCTAGTCTTACATTACCACATTTAAAAGAAAAAGTAGAAAAGTTAAAGATCTGTTTATTTTATCAAACTCTAACGATAGACTCTCAAAAGAGCTTATCACCAGAAAAGAAAAAAGTAAAAAAAAGAAAAAAGCATTTAAAGAGATTGTTGATTAAGGTATGTTCAAGTTGTATTTTTATATTTTAAGCATAAAAATCTTAAATTATTTGTATTTTCTTAACTTTTATTCATATCTGACACTGTTCCAATGATTTTTCGGTGGCATGATGGGTACCAATGAGAATATCTTGAAAAGATATTTTTAATGGTTTTTGTAGCATGTCGTTTGACTTTATGATTAAGAAGATATGCATTTTTAATGTTAATTAAAAACTTGATTTTCAATAGTTCGGACAGGGTCATTAGAACTCCATATTCTGGTAACATTTTGAGTCATTTCTTTGAGGTTTTTGTGATATGAAATGTGATATTTAATTTGGCATCAATGGCTCTGTTAGTTTGTTTTAAAAAAATTAAAACTTCAAAATAAGTTTGTCGATACTGAAAACTTAGAAATCTAAGTATTTCTGTTGTGATTTCTAAACTTTTGGCTTTCGAAACTTTGAAATTTTGTGTTCTTTTTAATCAAAACAAATTTTGTTGTTATAGTATGATATGAATACTTTAAACTGATGTTGATTTTATCACTAGAAACAATTTGGTTAAGAGTTACAAAAGCTCAGAGTAGGCCAAACGGTCATCTTTGATTTTGAAATTTTAGAAAATAGGAAACTCTTTTTATTAATTTTTTTTTAAAAAATAATTTTAATTAATAATTAATAAATTCTATTGTAAACTTTATAAATATTAGATATGTGATTTCTACTGTATTTTTATATCTAAAAGTATATATATTATATTTTAAAATTTTATTTCTTAAATTAGTAGATTTCAAAAAAAAATATCAAAAATTAAAAAAAAATACAAATATGATTTTTATATATGAAATTAATGTTATCTTTCTATCAGAAATTAAAATTGTTACTGATTTTATGATTTAAGTTTAATTCTCAACTTTATTTGAAATTCTTTAAATTCAAAATATATATAATAGTAAAATATTATCTTATTAATAACAAAATGTCCTTAAAATTCAATCGAGATTGCTACATACCTTAAGTGTTTTGAATGGTCAATGAAAAGTTGCTTTGTAAGATTTGTTGCAAATTCAATTATGATTTTGTATATATATTTTCTTAATATATTAGGCTATTGGAAAGATTTTCTGAGTTATTACTGGACAATGAACTTGACAATCAACTAAGTGACTGATAATCCTTTGGTGTTTTCACACCATAAAATTTGTCTCAATGTAATTTTCGTACTTGTATATGATATTTTGTCTTATGGTTTGTTAAATTAGATAAGCATGCTAATATATGTAAGTAAATATGATCTTTGTGTTGATTTTTAGAATATGTTTTCTGATTTTGAGATTTGTATATGACTTTGTATAATGTATGCATATATGTTTACGTGAATATAAACATAAATATTTAGTTTAAAATGAATATACTTTTGATGTGTATGAGATATGCTTAAAAAAGTTGATATACTATTTTATAAAATTTCGATAATCTAAAAATATATGTTTCTATTTTGTCCCTTAGTATGGCTATGCTCTAACCTTGCCAATGAAGGTTAAATGTTAGCCATGTCGACCTGTAGTTTCTGATTAGAGATTGATCTCCCTATCATACCACCGATTACAGAATAGTGATATTTGTGATATCTATTCAATGCAACAAATTGTTGCTTTTGATATATTTATGACCTGTGCCATAGGGATTAATTGTGGATTTATTTTTGACCTATGTTCTGGGGGTTAAGTGTGATCGTAGTATGTTATTGGAGGCTATCAAAATCTATAATTTTGTGAAATTTATATTTTGTTCAGTTGATTGAAAATTTTGGAGTAAGATAGTTTTGTTATTCGAAATTAGGTTACCCAAAATTCTACTTTGATATTTCTATGAGAATAAATAATTTTGGGCCTAAATGTTTTAAGCATGCTTAATTCGGCTGAAAGAATGTTAATCACTTGTTGATTTGTTGGACTCATTACTTTTTTCATTTTTTTTCAGTTTGTGATTTGGCCAAATACGTACAAATTTCAAGAAATGACGTTTCGTAAGTTAGCATATAATTTTAGTTTGCTTGAGGATTTTTCTCAATATCTTAGTTTATAGTATTAGAAACTTCCTTTTAAAACATTGTCGAAATCATGTTCCTTTTGAATGTTGATACACTTAGCTTTGAGAATAATTATATTTTTATAAATGTATTTAACCTTTTTAGTTAATTGGTTAAAATATGTGTTTTTGAGTCTTGCATGTTCGTACGTCTGTTGTGCCTCAAGTTTGGGACGTGACATTACTACTTCTTACCTTACGTCTTGCGGTCAAAGCTATATAAAAAATACAATAATATATATTTATAACAAAAAATCTACTTTCATTTTGTTTTTTCCAAAAAACAATGACAGCTTGTAATTAACTTTTTTAGTGCCTGAAGGAAAATGAAAAGAAAGATAAGAGGTGAAAGAGTTTCATGCTAGAATAAACTGTGGGAGAACACATAACAATGATATAGTTTACAACATATATTTTGCTTACATTACATATATAAGATGAGACAATTCTAGCACACTTTGCCTTGAGGAAATTAAAATATTGTTCATTTTGATTTTAATCTGATTCCGCAGCAGCAAATTTATTCAATGATGAAAGTAAGTGTGAGTGTATGTGTGTTTTAAGACGACTCCGACCTCAAATACTTGTTGTATAGCCATCGTGAGATGGTGAGAGCATTGCCATTACTTTCCACTGGATACACCTTCCCACTCTTTTGCCAATCGTTTGTCAGCTTTATCCACTCCCGCCTCCATTTCTTCGTCTTGAAGTCCTCGCCCTTCTCTAAGCTTTCTATCAAAGCTCTAAAATATATTGCTGCTCGGGGCCCATAATAATCTCCCACCACTCCACTCCAATACTTGTTCCCTAATGGCATTCATATGGCACCATTATAACCATGAAACTATATATATATGAAGAAAGTATAAATTGAGGTGAAAGATATATAAGAACCAGACTCAGGCTGTGAAGGTGTACAAATTAAATACCATAATCGTGAAGTAGACTCGCTTCTTCCTCTGTGTTGTCGAACCACATGGTTATTTGAGTTCTTGCATTCCACTCAAACTGTATTTTCAAATCAGATCAATCAAAATTTCTCAAGATCTCCTTGCATTTTGAATAGCTTATATATAATGTAAAGGGCTCTCTAACCTGTTTTTCTTCTTCTTTATTTTGTGCAAGTTGTTTAGCAGTTTCTAGCCATGGTCCTAGAAGAAACCCGTCATGGCATGCTAAAAGAGTGTCCAGATCTTCAACAAGGTCTAAAAACTTCTGACTCAGAGTGGTGACTCCATTAAGATCTTTTAACTTATACGCATCAATGATCTCTAAGAATAGCTCATTTGCATATTTTGCCAGTGCTTGTCTAGTCAAGTCAACTAAGTCATACCTGAGCATTGAAAATAGAGTGGCATGTAGAAAAAGTATGTCAGAATAACAGAAGAATAATTAAGGCCAATAAGGTACGTGTATGCTACAAGTTTCAGAATACATGACACGAAACATAAGAATTCACTATAAGTTTACGAGGTGCGCTGAAACCAAACAATCTACCTGTAAGTGTTACTTGCTGATAGTGCATCCCCATTTGCAATGAAAAGTTCCAATGCCCTTATCACTTCAGAAGTTGAATACCATAGATGAGGTTGATCATAAGCATCTGTTTTCTCCCTTAGTATGGCTCTTCTAGATGTTGGTTTCCCATAGTGGTGATACCTCTCACGTGGCAATGAAATAAAGGATGGACTCACATCTGGAAATGAGACAATAACATCCCTATTCTTGTCCTGCCTCAACATTATCAATTATCAATGGTATATAGATTAAGATGATAAATTTATGCTTGCGATTATGTAAAGCTAAAACCATTCTGCATATGGTACTTGGCAAAAAGAATCTACTAAGGTCGAGGGACTAATGTGCATGTGTTATCTTAACTCCAATTACCAGTCATGCTCATGGAACTGAAGGATGCATTACCATTCTAACCCTGATAAAGCTCTATAAGTTATATCATATATATAAGTACACCCACATGCACATGAGATAAAATTGATGCATCTTTGAGGAAGTGGAGGGATAAAGGTCAAATATGTTAAGACCACTTTACAAGATATTATACTACCAAAAAAAAAAAGAAACACTTGAAAAAGTTTTAAGAACTTACATAGGCTCCATCAGTGCAATTGTAAAGTGTGCGATATAATATGCTCCAAGCATCACTTATTGAAGGAACTAACTGACCATATCGCCTTGCTATATAAAGTTCAATCCATGCCTGAAAGATGTATTTCAATAAAAGAAAACAGGTTAGAATAAAATTGGTTATTGTAGGTGATAATGCATGCCTCCCACACTTTCTGCTCCTTCAAGCTTTCCTTTCTATATCAATTAGAAGAATTATTTTCCTCTTCTCCTATTCGGAGTTGAGGGTTAATAATATTTCTTGTCCTGCTTTTTGATTACTTTTATCTCTTTAGCCAAAATCAAATTTTCAAAGAAACAATCCTAATAAGCAACAAAATCCTTTATCTATCTTATTCATACATGAAAAAATTGTCATAACCTAGAGGTTTAAATCTAGAAATTTTAATCCAATTTACACGTACCTTCACTAAAACATTAATGGTGAATAGCACATGCAACATGCACAACATTGTGTAATAACTGAAAATTACCTCGACATCAACCTTTTGGTGTTGAAATGCCATTTCAGACATAAGATCATAAACAATTGGATTTTGTTCTATACCTTCCATTGACATTCCAATGCCAACCTTAATAGAAATTATTGACGGTGTTAGAAAAAAAAATCAAAAGAAAATAATCGCAAATAAATTTTAAATGAGTAAAAGTGTTAAGTATTAGTGATCTGTTGCAAGAAAACTTATTTGCATGACAGTGTTATGCTTAAACACATATTCACGTATGATGACATAAAGAGAGAGACAGTGCTGCAGGTTATTAATTAAATGAGCACAATTTTTGAGTAGCAATTGCCTACTGATTGAGTGTGACGGCAAAATCTTATATAACATTTTAACAACCATTTGATGATATTTTGGAAGTAGAAATCTACAATATAACTTACCATTGTTGAGTTTTCACTTGTTAGAGCTTCAATAGGCCCAGAAGCTATTGCATCCAAAATTCCATACATCTCTATGTTTCCTGCAAAGTTGTGTAGCATGCACCTGTAAAGCAGGATGCAGCAAATCAGATAAGAAACAATTGAGAACGAGTTCCATGCTTCCATTCGCTTGCCTTGAGGTTGGTAGGTTAGAAATTCTGCATGCAACGATATGATATATCCTTGGTTTCTTAGAAACCCCAATAGAAGAATGCCATTACCTTTAGTCTTAGAAATTTAATTCGATATGGATATTTAATGCTAATTTTCTATTAATTTTTTAGTTTAGGAGAGTGGGGGGTGGTTTAAGGACCAAAAGCATCTTAGACTAGTCCACAAGGATTTATTCAATGGTTAATATACGCATAGTATGAATAAAAGGACCATCTCAAGCATCCTCATATGTTCAAATAGAGAAACTAGGAGGCAGCCTTAGCAATCTAAAAGACACAACATTATGACATTTTACTATCTGAGTGATAGAAGAAAACATTATCATTCATAATCCTTATAAGCATCTACGACTTGAAGTTAGCTCAGCTACCGAACCTATTTGACCCACCTCATTTCAGCTTAGTCTCCAAGAATAATAACCATATAGAAATATTATTATCTAGGAGTTATTTAATATTAAAACACAACGTATATGTTGTACTTATATGCATAAAACTAAGGATAAGGTTCTTACCTTATATGGATCAAAATTATGGATAGAAACTTGTGTACATAGGCATATATCAACACATTAGTTTTTACTTATAAAACTCAAAGAGGAAAGAAGGAATGGAACAATAACTTTCCAGATGTAAGGAACACCATAGAATTGCTTTGAAGTAATCCAGATGGGTTTCACTTCAGCAAACAAATCAAGGACAACCAGCTTCCCTAAGGGAACAGAATGCAGAAGTGCCTGAGAAAACCATAGTTATTGCTTGTCAATGAACAAAATATTTGTTCTTTTTTTCTTCAAAACAGAAGAAAAAAGAAAATGCTAGAATGCATAACAATATCTGAACAAGCTCATATCATTTGTGCATATAAGAACATTATAATTTGATTTGAATACACAAGTATACAAAATCTACAATGTCATACTATCAGGATAAGCTTCATGGAAAGCTAATTGCCTGAAAAATCTTGAATGTGCTTTTGAAGAAGTTTACTACTAATTGCTTATTTCAATGATGGTTGGAAAGAACTGTGAATTTTTTGACATATAATATACCTAATGGTGAGCGGTAAAGCAAGTTCCTTTAGAGTTTAAACCTCTGAAGCTAACCAAAATGCTATGATAGTGAGCTTACGCATATATTAGGGCCAAACATATGTTTCTAGTATTCACTTAATTATCACATATGCAATTGAAACATAATTAAATAAAGTAAATGACTGTACACTTTAGAGCCCCTCCCAGTTGTTTATCTTCGGACCAATGTTTCACACCATGCGTTAAACCTTCAGTTATGACACTCAAAATTGAAAGAAAATTTCATGGTTTGCATCAAGTGCTCAAACTTCATCCACTGAAAACTTATCAATTTTGGTACAAGTTATAGACACTTTGAATTGTATACCAAAATCAAATCGGCATAAAAGTTAAAAAGCTAATGTATTTTGAGATCGAGAATGTAATGACTAACATACAAGGGGAAAAAAAACTATAGATATAACCTTCATTTGTGGAGGCCTCCAGAATGGATCATATGAAAATAGCCACCCCTATGGAATAAATTTGGATCAGTTAGAATATCAAAAGAAAATATTATAAACTGCATGAAGAGATCAGATACATAGTGCATATGCATCCTAACTTTAGTTAAGAATATTAACAGAATCAAGATTCACAGACTAGATCTATTTAACTGTCAGTAAAGACGTAAGCATTCTGATAAAAGAATGTTCCTCAGTTTGGATACTAAAGTTAGTGAGATATGATCTTTTGACCTGCATTAGCCAAATGGCATTGACATCACCACTCTGCATTCCACTAAAGATTGATGCACCTAATGAGGAGATGTACTCTAGATCATCCACCGGAGGAGTATTCTCATCAAATGTATCACTACATGGTTAAGCACACATCAAAACAACATTGAAATAATTCGATAAACAGAATGATAGATTGATTAAATATTATAGAAGGTAGAGAGGTAAAAACAATTGAATAAGTAAGTGAAACAAGATTGATATGAAAATCAGCCCATTGAGCTAACAAAAACATAATAACAATGGAAAAAATTAATTACTACTTACAATTTAAAGCCATAACATGGCTATGTGGAATCTACAATGTCTTAAACTAAAAAAGGTCACTATGGAACCACTATGGCCTTATTAAACTGCTCCCTGAGTTGTAATTTACTTGAGCTTGTTTGACTTGAACAAATCTTAAAACATCATTAAATATTGTCTTTAACAAGTACTTTTATAACCAAACAATGGGCGAGTAATTTAACGATTTTCACATATTGGAATGGCCATTATATCAAAGACTATCAATTACAAGTCAATGAAAATGGATCTTTCGAAATTTAACAGTCCAAACAAAAATAAAATCTTACCAGTTGTAAATGTGGCTTGTCCTTCCATATTCTGACCAAAGATGTAAGCCCGAACATGAAAAAAGGTTAAAAGACTTGCATAAATTTTTTGTAGTAAGGAAAGCTAACACCTAATAGCTTTTATGTTCAAAATAAAGAAGAGAAAAAGCTTATGAACATAAAAGACCACGGAATTCAAGTAGCACACCTTTCAGTTGTTCCTCGATAAAAGCTCTCCCAATCTCAATGAACAAGGGATCAGTTGCATCAAGAAGATAAGTGCAACACCATTTAGGATTGCTTTTAACAGAAAACCTAAAGAGCAATTCACATGAATATATATGAGGTTCCAATCTTTAGTAAACTTTTGCAGAAACTCTCAACTAAAATCAACAAGCCTTAATTCTTATTATTATGTTCAATTAGATGCAGTAGAAAGCCGAATAACACAAACAGTTAAAAACAATTATTCTTGCCAACGTGCAAATTATACGTCGGAGAAATTAAAGATTAATGATATCTGAAAAATATAAATTTTTTTTTTTTATAATTGGGGAAAGAGGGATTCGGATAATGTACCAACCAATGAGCCAAATGTACGAGTGCATCTGAAAAATATAAGTTAGACACATCAAAAGCAAATTCGTTTGTCCATTTCACAGTACGATGTAGCTTACCAATTACCCAAGCGTGTTATCTTTGCAGATGGGAATACATTTTTTAATGTTGCAGGAACATTGCCAGAAAAGGCTGGAAGGACTGCAAAGGGCATCCACAAAAAATTAAACGAGTAAATCAAGTAGGAAACAAAATAGATAAAGTAATTAATGTTTAAAAAAATTTCCTCCATCATTGAAAGGTGATGCCATCTCTTGCTTAAAAGTTTACTCTGTATCAACAATTAAAACCAATATTTCCATATGACTATAATCTAGAGTCTCAGTGAGTTATTTTTGTTTGATACCTATATGACTTTTTGTAATGCTTGCCCTCATTCAGATGAAACCAAGTAAATATGCTTATATGCAATACTTGATAGCATGGAGCATAACATGCCACAGTCACCAAAAGATATAAGGAAGGGGCAATTTTTCCAATTTACAGAAAATTCGTCAAGATTTCTTCATTCATTCAGAGACCAATAGAGAAAAGAATAATCCCAATTAAGATAAAAAGAACAAGATCTTTAAGATAAAGCTTTACTTTGCATGTATCCCAAAGTAGTAACATATTGACATTACGAAGCCATTCATGAAACGAAAATGAAAAACAATGGATGGTAACTTTGTTTGCTGAGAAAAAATGATGGACAGTAATAGCAAATTAGTACCTGGAGTCATTCCAAGTTCATACATTCTGGAAAGAATTTTCTTTTGCAAAGTTAATTGTCCATTAAACCAACTTTGTGGTAGTGGTCCACCCCATCTGTGATTTAAGTACCACTTATTAGATAAGAAATCATAGTACTGTCATCACAACCAAAAATTTGTATATCCTAGATTATTACAATAACACCCATTAGAAGAACACTCCAAGTAAAAATAGAACATCAATTATTCTAGTAATCTGATTGAAAAGAAGTAAAGAACCTTGGTTTGAAAGGAAAGTCTAGACATTTTTCATTAGCATGACCTTAAAATTGTTTGATACTAGACTTACCATATTGAATAAAACCCAAATTAATCAAGCCAAAGTCCAAGAGAACCCTTCTAAAACTTTCCACATTACTCACCCGTGTAAATTTCCCATACGTGACCAAGCAAGAAATGCAGGGCCTCCAAAGAAGTCATCCAAATCTGAACCACTTATATTGAATTTCTGCTTGAGATAAACAGTTTGTAAGAGATATTGAAAACTAAAGCCACCCACCTTAAGAACATTATTCATGACTCTGTGGACACATTGGCAATTATCCAAAAATAATGCCTAGATTGAACATATTAACCAAAGAGACCAACTCCCATTTCATTAAAGAAAATTTAAAATAATATTCAGAGAGTGAAACAACTCTGATTGGTAATAAAAAGGAAAAACCGTAAATCGGGATTGATATGTAATTTGGTGGGAGATAAAACTAACAGATATAAGTATTTCCAAGCACAAAAAAAAAATTAACGAATAGCAAATTTACTACTATACTGATTATGAATTTCTCATTAAGTATGATCGTATTAATCTATATTGAGCTGAGGTTATAAGCACTCTGTAACTAATAACATGTAAAAAAGATTCTATTTTAACTTTTTATCCTGGCCACCACTATATCAATAGACAAAGGATAATTAGAGTTGACCGTATAACAAATAGCTAAGAACTTGTTATAATGCTAGAAGCGTATTTGTAGCAGAAAATGTAGGAGTATTTGCAATTTTCTCCAATAATTAGGTTCAACTAAAAGTTCAGAAAAAGTAGGTTACAAGCATATAAGCCTTGCTCAGCTATGTCATCCTTCAAGATGCATATCTCATTTGTGAAGCCAACATAAAAGGAAAAGGAAGCATCAAAATAACAAGTAATACAGACGTCTAATTGAGTGGCATCCCACCAATGCCAAAGATCTTTCAAATTTCATCACATGCATGAACAAGGGGAGTAGAGTTGTTGCTGAGTGAAGGGTAACGAGTTTTGCTCCACAAGCAAGAAAAAGTGAAAAGACAAAGACCCATTGAAGAAAGTGTGCTAAGTTAGTCAAAATTTGAAAACTTTATAAGAGGAAATTACCTGGTAAACCTTTTGCCAAATAGCTTCTTGCCCAGTAAATGCTAGCGGCAAGTTGATACCTTGGAGAGCCATCCAATCAATTTCCTTTTCCCATCTTTCCCAATCCCACCAAGCAAAAGAATCTTCCAAAAACAAACAAATGAAGTTCATATAAAATTTATTAGGTGAAATTTTGAAATGTCGCAGGAGGCATTAATAACTTATTAGGAGACAGAAGGGACTGTCAAAGCAGAAGCTCACAGCTCGATGTGACAGCATTCTGGTAGTAATTCCACGGGATGGGTCTTTGGACGAAGATGCCAGTATCTTGAACACGAGGAAGAGAGCCTAACTTAGGTATTGAAAGTAGTTGTGCACCACCTGTTTTTTCCCAAGATATATGTGAACCACACAAATACTTCAAGTACCAGTGTAGACCAGCCAAAACTTCAACCCCAGTGACACCACTTATTCTGCTCCAGACCAGCCAAAAACCCCCCCACATACAAGTATCAGGAAGATGATTTATCATTCTATACATAAAAAATACACATGCTTTTATGCTTTTCTATAGCATTGATCCTCCATTTTGCTCCATTATTGATCCTTCCTTCTTTTTTTTCCTATACATTTCTTCTTTTTTTTCCCTTCCTTCTTTTCTTTGTAGATGAATTCAATATATATAAAGTAAATCATAGTTTCACGAATTAATTTAATTAATTATATAAAATTTTAAAAAAATAACTAAATTTCAAAACTATTCTAATCTCACAACTTCTCAACTTTTCTTAAATTTTGCATATTATAAGTTTGTATAAACAAAGGAGTATATAGTATAATTAATAATTTTACAAGTTATAATTTATGTAATGTTAACATAAAATAGAATGTAAATATATTTATATTTAAAGTATATATATATTAAAAGTATTAGTATATATATAATATAGTAATTATATTTCTTATAAATGAACCCTATAGATATAATGTATATATATTAAAAAACATTGCAAGTTAATTACTAATAATAGTTTCATGAATTAATTTAATTAATTATATAGATTTATCTTTAATTACATGAAATTAAAAAAATAACTAGATTTCAAAACTATTTTAATCTTAAAGACTCTCTTTTTAAGTATATATATTATAAATTATAATTTTTGTAATGTTATCATAAAATAAAAAATAAATATATTTATATTAAAAGCATATATATAATAGTAATTATATTCTTTTGTAATATAATATGATATTCATATTATTTAAACATCATTAATAATCTAACAATTTTTTTAGTTTAATATACTAATATTATCACATTAATAATTTAAGTAATCATATTTTTTAATATATTTGTCAACATTTAATAAAAGAAATTATTTATAAAGATAGTAAAGGTTTTGATTATTTTCTCTTTTTACATGAGTTCGTATCTAAACACCAACAAAAATGAATATTTTTTATTTAATTATTTAAATAATAATAAAATATATATAAATAGATATTAGAATCGGAGCCGATACCCTCAAATTATTTAAATAATAATAATATATATATATATATATATATATATATATATAAATGGATGGATACTTATAGAATCAGAATATTAACGTAATCGGATTTGGATGAAAGGTGGTATCCGAACATGATATAGATAATGAAATTATTATCCAAACTTATCTCAAACGATACAACTTATAATAGGGTACTCATTACAGTAGAATCTCTTACATGATGAAAATTTGAATTATATATAAGGCGAAGACAAAAAAAAAAAAGCTTTACTTACAGAATCTCTGGAGCCTCGTGTTTTTGTGAAGCAGGATGGTTTTTGATAATGAAGCAAGATCCTCCAGCACATTCATCCTACCAAAAACAAAGCAGTTAATGAGAGAGGGGGGAGAGTTTAATTCTTCAATTCATGACCGATGCCTCCAAACAGAACAGTAAAAAATGTAAAGAAAATTTAAAATTACCTTAGAAGAAATTATTTGAAATTCAAAGGCGGAAGAGTGAGAAGGAATCAGGCGATGGAGAACGGCGCGAGCTGCGGCAACCTGGAGGGAAGGAGGAGCTCTTTCGTGGTTTTGAATTTCGAGGAGTTTGGAAACGTACTGGACGCCGATGGTGGAGGATTGAGCGGAGGATAGGAACGAGAAAAAGAAAAGAAGAAAAATGACGGGAAGTAGAGTATCCATGGCGGTGGCGGGGATATGGAGTTGACAGTCGAGAAGTGGAGGAAGAAAAGAGGAAAAATGAATCCTACCCTCCTAAACAGGCGTTTATGTTTATTAACAAAAATGAAATGGAATCATCGAAGAGGATGAGGTTGAGGAGATTCTTCAAAGAGCATCCGACAAATTTCATGGCCGGCCTAAGCGAGAAACAAAAAAAGCATCCGACAAATTTCAAAGGGTGACGCCCGCTATGCCTACCGGGTATAGACGAGAAGAAGAAGCTGTCAAACGCGATAGCCTACCAAACCTTACCCATTTCATACTGGAATTGGATTGGATTGGCTTCTTCTTCTTGCCTGTTTCATGCATTCTAGAAAAAACAGTTTAGTTGTTTTGTCACGCCAACATCAAGGTCAACTCATCAACAAGCACGAAGAAAAAGATATGGACATCAAAGTTTCAGATCTCAAATATTACAACAGCCCATGCGGCCTTTATATTCACTTATTCACATAAAAATTTACATAAAAAACAAAGCACTAAACAAATGAGCCATATCATGAGTAAAATATGAAGACAATAACAAAAGATAGTATAGAAACCCAACGAGATTAACCAAAGCTTAAAGTCCAAGTTAAGTATAACATGTTACGCCGGGGTGCAGGAGAAAATCCTATTCCTAGTGTTTCTGGGTGGTCTTGTGGTACTTTTCTTTGATCCAATGAATTCCCAAAGAGGTTCCTTCTTTGACCTTCTTCACCCCAGTCGAAGCCACCGCTTTGGTCTTCCCAAGCCCTTCTCCTACCTTCTGCTTGTACTTTGCGGTGCTGCTCTTCTTGTTTTTGTTCTGAGTGGTGCTGACAGGGGTTGGGTCGCTGTAGTCCCACTGATCGGCCCATGATGTACCATAAGAGGAGTTGTTTCCTTCCATTGCTTTTCCTTCCTTCTTCCTGGAGAAAGTATGGGAGGGGTTTTCTGTTGGAGCGGATCAGGAATATTTCTTGAAGGAGGAGATGAAGAATTTCGTTAAGAGAAGAAGAAAGGGATTGGGTATTTGATGAGAAGTTAGGAAGATAAGAAATGGTTAGCCTGATTCCTAAAGTTTGGTTTTTATCGTCGACGACTCGCCTCGCGTCCTTTATAGGCGTTAACGAAAGAATGTTGGTCCAACTAAGGAACAAGGGACCCACCTTCGGATTTCAACACGTGTGATTGCTCATTGCAAGGAATTGAGGTTCTCCTCTCCCAAAGGACAAAAATGACCTCTTCTTCTCCCCTTTTTTTTAACTAAAAGGGCAGGTCCCTGGTTATTAGTTCATTAATATTTTGATGGGCAGAATCCTAGGAGGTTAAAGTTTGTTAAAATGTAAAATAAAATTTATGGATATTAAATTCATTATTAAATATAAAGATAATGATATTTTTCTTGAAATAAATGTATCTTTAATACTCATCAATACACCACTAAAAATGTCAAATTAGGCAATTTTCAATTTTGTGAAATAAAACTTTTTTTTTATTTTGTAAAGAAAATAGCCATGAGATATGAGACATGGTGGAAAGGTTTTGCATTTCAAAAACTTAAAACCCAAATTTCTAAATCTAAATTCGTCACTCATAATATTTATAATATAATACGATGAGATGACTTAAAATATTAAAAAAATTATTCAATGTCGATATTAAAATGATTAGCAGATTGTAATACATAGTAATAAGATATATTTTAAAAAATTAATAAATTAATATGATAAATATTTTAATTTTAGTTATTTATAAAACTTAAAAAATCTAACCACAATATAAAAAATATAGTTGTAGAAAGTGGAGGAATATGGAATTTTGGATTTAGAAAAAACGTGAAGGGAAGTGCAGTAAATATGCCCAAACAATTCAATAAAAAGAAGAAGAAAAGAAAGCCACAAAGGCGCGTATCTTCTTAAGCTTCTGGAATTATCCAGAAAAAAGAAAGAAAGAATATTTGCAGTTGGGCAATTTGACCGAAAGCTCCGTTAGAAAGGCATGCATAGTCAACCGACCGTCCTGTCCAAGAAGCTTCAGCTGTCGTCATGGCCGATGCCATGTCATCATCGCCCTTCGCAAAGTATATATTATAAAAATATTTAAATTTATAAAATTATAATTTTATAAAAATAAGTAAATAGATGTTGTTTTATTACTTTATTTATTTATAGTTATGATTTTGAGTACTGTCTACACTTGATAAGAAGGAAAACCCCTAAGCATGGAGGTGACAAGGATTTGGTGTCTCAGCATGGTTGTAGCTCAAGAGCGTATTGTCTACACTTGTATATGCTAGCAGCTTTTATAAGAACGTACTGCTTACACTTGTATATGCTCAAGTGGCCGTTATAGATGAAGAAGTTCAATTCTAGTTAAGTATTATTTTTGAATTACTATTTACAAGAAAATTATACTAAGGTGCTCAAAGCGTGAAAGCGTCTAGGGTGTAAAAACGTTAGAGGTGTTCTGAGTGTAAAAACGCTTAAGGTGTTTCGAGTATGAAAATTTCAAAGGATGTTTCAAGCGTGGAAGTGCTTAGGGTGTTCTAAGCATAGTAGTGCCTAGAGGCATTCCAAGTGTGAAAATGTCCAAGGGCATTCCAAGCATGGAAGGGCCTAGGGTATTTTAAGTGTAGAAGTGCCTAGAGGTGTTCCAAGCATTGAAAATGCCCAAGGGTGTTCTGAGCATAGAAATGCTTAGGAGTTTTCCGGAGTGTAGAACCGTGAACAGTTAAGACTAAGCATGCAATAGATGTTCGTACAGGGAAGTGAAAGTAATTTAAAACAAATGGCAAGGTTCATGAGTTATCTTCATATTTGGGATGTTCTAGAAAGCTTGATTTTAACGGCTCAATATAAATATGAGGGCCTTGGAGGTTAGGAAAAAGAATAAGAAATCATAGAAACCTAATAGAGATTATCTTGAAAGCTCTCTTTAGACTCCTCCAAATAGTCTTTCTATTAAGCCTTTCCCATTTGTTGTAATCCGCCACTTCTTTCACCTTTTCTTATCCCTCACCATCTGCCACTTAAAACATTTACGTTTCAAGGATTGCTCTAGTCTTTCTCTCTATCGCCTCTAGCGCATCTCGATTGAATCATTGTAACACGTCCTCTCTTCATAACCAAAAGAACCTTCTACAATAGACACTATACAACGCTTGTAACTATTGTTGCTTTACGTAAATTATTAATGTAACTTATATCTTACCTGAAAAAAAAAAAGAAAAGAGAATAAAAAAAGTTCATTTGGGCAAAAAAGAACCAATGAGGTGGCTTATTGAAGCAAAAAGAAAGGCATGTGTTTAGTACGAGTAATATTAAGTTAATGACTTGGACAAATTATAATGGTATTCTTGCTACAATATTTTCCAAAATAACTTGCAACCAAGAGCTACACTGAGGTGCAATCTAACTTTCCAAATGAAGGTTCAAAACTTACAAGAGCACCAACCTTCCAACCCATCCTTACATCCTTACTTATTCATTTTATTGCAAAACCAAGCATGCATATTTGTTCTAGAATCCACAAATTAATGCAGATATGTATATACTTGGAATCGATTTGACCCAAAACATAAAAACAAGCCCTAATGAACCCCATAAGTACAATAACTACCAACATCCTTGATTATCCATATATATGAACCTAATAAATTATCACAAACTAATTAAACTACACAATCCCCTAATTTTATTCAATATGATATAAAGCAAGAGATCATGCTATAAAGTATTTGAGAAAAACAAAAAAAAATAAAATAAAATTTCCAGGGATTTAGATGTTAGTACTAAAAAGTCAAATGTATCTTGATTTCATTTTTCAACGCCTTCAAACAGAGCAGAAAACAAAAAAGAAAAAGAAAATTTAAAATTACCTTAGAAGAAATTATTTGAAATTCAAAGACGAGAAACTTAGAAGAAGCAAGTGATGGAAAATGAAGCAAACTGCGACAACCTAGAAGGAAGGATGAGCTCTTTCGCAATATTGAATTTCAAGGAGTTTGGAAATAGACTGGACGTCAATCGTGGAGGAGTGAACAGAAGATAGGAGCGAGAAAAAGAAGAGGGAAAATGGCAGGAAGTAGAGTGTCCATGGCGGTCGAGAAGTGGAGGAAGAAAAGAGGAAAAAGGAATTCTACCAACCTATACAGGCATTTATATTTATAAAAAAATGAAATGGAATCATCAAAGGGGATGAGGTTGAGGAGATTCTTCAAAGAGCATCAAACAGACATTTCATAACCGTCTGAAGCGAGAAACAAAAATCAGTTAAAGTTTGAATTCTTGAATTTGAAAATCGTTAAAAGACTTGTTAAGTCCCTATATTCTTCAATTTTATTCAATTTAGTACCTATACTCAAAATCAAAGCAATTTAATTCTTTGATTTAAAGAATTACGTCAATTTAGTCCCTTCTTCTAACGCAATCCAATTTTTGCCGTTAAAAGATGATGTCTTTTGATTGTGGTATTTGAATTTAAATAAAATCGTTTCATGAGAAATTTTGAGTAATTTAAATAAAAGAAAAATTGGGTAAGAGTTGAATAATTTCAAAAAAATGTGTATTTGTAAATTCTAAAAGTTGTAACCAAATCAACATATTTAGT